AACTCTACTCTGCATCCCTCGAAAATAGAACATGGTCCGTTGCATCCCGTTCGTCGGGACCATTACCGCACCTCGTCATGAACCAACCGCTTATGCCGTTACTTCGTGAATGGAGAAGACAAACCCCACCAAAAATCAGGACCTTTCTCAGCCTCGTAAATGCCATCTCCGAGGAGGAGGAGGAGGAGGAGAAGGAGGAGGATAAGTGACAAGAAGGAGAGGGAAAAGGAGAAGCGTATAAGATAAAAGCAAGCAATGGTAGGAGAAAAGGGTATCCAAAAACCTCAGCCATACAATGTGTTTGGATCAAGTAATCGCTCTGAAATCGTGGCGAGGAAACAAATGTGAAGAACAGAAAGAGAAACGGTGCGAAGAAGGTAAGAATGTGTATGCTCACTGAGCAGCATAGAAGCCGTTCATCTCCTGGTGCGGTGACCGCGAGTACGGCGACGTCCTGCCTTGCGCTGCATACTGCGCCATGTTTGGGTGGGCTGAGATTTGGCCGTGGCCGTGGCCGTGAGCGTGGCCTTGTCCCATCAACATGCCGTACTGTAGAGAACTGTCCATCGACATTTGGCCCACACCGGGCTGGTGCAAGCCAAGGGCGTCCGCGTCGAGCGCTGGGAATGGCTCCCCGCTGGGCGGCACTGTCATGTACTGTCCTTGTCCTCCCCCGTACACATTCGTCGGCAAGGCCATGTTCTGAAAGTCTGGATGGCCGAAGCCCAATCCGTTCGTTTGGTCAATAAGCGGAGACGAATACAGCTCTTGGCCGTTATCGCCGTACGTGGACGAGAACAGGGAATCGTCGTACTGTTGCATGTTGTCTATGTACCCGAACGAGACGCCATTGTTGTTACCGAACGCCCTTGGATCGGTGACCAGGCCGCATGGGCGCCCAGCCGGAGGCGGATATGTTGCCGGCCCGTGCCGAAACTGGGGCGACAAGTCGGTGCGGCTGGAGATCGACTCGTTGAAAGGCGCGGCGGTGTTGAAAGCATTGCGGGGCGGGGCATCCTGGACGGGGCTGATGATGGTATCTGGCTCGAGTTCTCTCTCCGCCACGAGACGCAAGACAGGGAGACTGATCTGCTCCATGTGCTTGGCGAGATGGACTGTGAGCTTCTTCCAAGAGGGGAATGACTTTCCGCAGAACCGGCACGGCTCGTCCTGAGGCTTCACCGGCGTGTCTTTATGACACTGCTCCACCTTTTGCCAGGTAGGGTCAGAACTCTGCTGCTTCACTGCAGCCTTGTTCTTGAACTTGGGCTCGGCAAACTTGTGCTCGCGCACCAGATGTTGCAGGAAGTTGTCGCGACGGTAGCACGTGTGGGTACAGTCCTCCACGTCACACGTCCACCATTCGAGGTGACGGTGGCCTTCATTCTCGTGGCGCACCCAGTCCGCCTTGCGCTTGAAAATCTTTGGATCCCGGCATCGGTCCCAGGTGCACGTGAATGGCTGGACATCCTCGTGAACATGCTTCGTCCAGTCAGAAGGCTTGTTGAACTTCTTAGCTTGGAAGCAGAGCTGGCATTCGAATTCGGCTGGAAGACTCGGAGTGAGTGGCATCGGAATATCCGTGGGAAAGCTTTCTTGCGTAATGGCACCTTCGATCGGCGTCATATCGCCATCGTCAATGTCATAGCTGGCCGACAACGGGTCCAGGCTCTTGGGGGCGCCTTTCTGATCAAGAATCGTGGCACTCCCACCCAAAGCCACACAAAGAGGTCCGCATGAGCAGTCGGCACCGGCCTGCAAGTGTTTCTTCTTGAAGTTGAGCAGTTGCTTGTAGCGGATGATCTGCTGGTGGGCGATCCGCTCCACCAGATAGTTGCAACTCGTCTCCAGGCTTGGGTTTAGTCGTAGGATGTGCTGCTGGAACCCGGCAAACGTGGGCGTGATGTCGCTGATGGTCCTGTTCGATTCGATCTTCATGTCGCCGTCATCGCCGTCGTCCTCGTCCTCGTCCTCGTCCTCGACGTCTACGTTGGTGCTCGTAGCCAAGGTCGCAACGGGTGGGCCGCCAGTCTTCCGCCACATACCAACCAAATTGGAGTGCGTCTCGTTGCTGGGACTGGGTTTTGGAAGATCCGACTTGCTCCTCGGACGCCGGAGGGTGTTCTTCACTTGCAAAGTGTTGTTGAAAGGGCTCCTGGGCGAGGTGATGGACGTCGCGCTGATGGAGCTGTTCCGTGCGTGGGTCGTGCCGATTGACGCGACACTATTGCCCATCGACACGAGAGCAGTGTTGATGCTGGGTACTGGGCCCTTCTTGTTACCCCAGCTCGAGGTGCGTGACGGCGGTGCCAGGTGCGGTGTGCTGTCACGCCGTTCAGGGCTCTGGCTACCACCCGGCTGAGGGCTCTCCTCTCCGTTGTTGTTCCTGGATCGCTTGAGAAGTCCACTGCCGCTGGGCCGCCTGACGAGGCCTCGCAAGTCTTGCAGCAGACTAGGCCGCCGCACACCTCGGTCGGGGCGAGTGCCTTCACCACGAGCAATGCTGAGCTTCTTGAGAAGCTTGCCACTCGTTACGCTTTCGATGTCGACATCGAGCAAGCTCGGGAGACTACGCCGGCGCGTACCCCACGTCGCAGCCTTGGAAACGATCGACTCGTTGTCCCACATCTTGTTGTATCTTGCAATGGCCGCTTGGGAGGACTCAGGCTGGAAGCGCTCGCCCTGACTACTGATGGGATGTGACATGGGCGCGTCGCCCCACTTGCTGTTGGCGTGTAAGATGTCAAGGTCTGTCTGGGTCATTTCGCCGCCTCCGGGGTGAAAGTAGACCTGATTAGACAGATACTTGTTCTCGGTTTGGTCGCCGAGGGCAATCTTGTCGTCGTCCGGTCTGTTGGGGTCCGCTTTGTCGAGCTGGGCAATGGACGATGAAGATTGCTCCGCGGGAGGGCTCTGCACGACGTTACCGGTGAGCCACTTGCCGACCTCGACGTTCTTTTCCTCAATCTCACGACGCGTGACCATTTCATTGGGGCTTTCCGTCTCGGCCGTCGTCCGGCTGCCCGGTTCGAGCCCGCGGCGACTGGAGGACGAGAGTCGGCGGCGAATGCTAGACTCATCCTTGCGGTGAGGCGGGGGAGGCATAGATGTAACCTGATCCCCGGTGTACATCATGTCACCGGCAGCGGAAAACGAGCCACGAACAGTGACCGGATCGTCATCGTCGGGGAGAAGGTACGCTCGAGGGGCACGGTAGGCTGATCATCGTCCTTCCCCAGAGCGAAACAGTGACGCGTG